CCTTGGTGGGGGGTCCTCGTATTTCAGGCAACCTGGTAGCCCTGCAGCCTCAGCCTTGGATGGGTTCAGGGAAAGCTGTGGGTTTTAGCTCATCTGGGTTTTTCTCATTGTTAGGGTGGGAGCGGCTCTCTTTCCAGCTTTTTAAGTCTTCTGTTAAATATGTTGTGTCTAGGACACAGCAAGCGCTTTAGATCTGTGGATATTTCTCCTCAGTTCGGGAAAATTCCTTCATCCTGCTCATGTGTAAGGGGGTCATGATTCTCAGTGGGGTTCCTGGTCCTGGTGGACCTGGCAAGAGTGAGGCATGGCTTCTGACAGGGTCTGTGGAAATGTCTGGGATGGAGAGGGGAGGAGCCCAATGGTGTGTGTTAGCCCATTTCACAGATGGCAAATTTGAGGCTCCCAGAGTTACTCTGCAGGGTCACAAGCCTGGGGGAGGTGAGATGGGCCTCGCTCTGTCCTGGGGGGTGTTTAGAGAGCCGATCGAGAGCACATTCTAGCAGAAATGACATTGGACTCATTTCCAATTTAAGACACTGGCAAATGCTCCCCCAGGAAAGGGAGGTGTGGAGGCAGCATGAGTGGAAGTGGGGTCCCCTGAGAGCGGAACAGCCCTCCCCAGTCCCCTACCCACCTACATAAGACCACTGCTCAGGGAAGGCTCTTTCCTGGGTATCCATAGAGCCCCTGTGATTGAGGGCCAGACAGTGCGGACCGGGATTCCCCTAATCTGCAGTGTCTGGCAGAGCCCAGAAGGAGTCTCACCAGGGTCTGGACAGGACCTGCCATGACAGAGGGGTGACCAGAAGGCCCCTTCCTTCTCTGGGCTCAGGTGGGAGTCCTGGCTCTTCAGCCTTCCCCTATGGTGAGGGGCAAGCACCTGGGGGGTAAACGCAACCACCAGCAGGCCTCGGTAGGCAGCAGGCCAGTCACTCTCCATTGGTTGTTATCGTCACAATCCCACTGCCAAGTAAGAGGCTGGGAGGGCGTCCCCAGGACCCCAGCAAGACCAAGCCTGCTGGCATAGCGGGAGCCTGAGCTGGGGCTACTGGGGCCATGGGGACCTCTGGAGGCCACGCCAGGTCCACAAGGACCAGCTCCTGAGAGTGTCCACCCTTGCTGAGCCCGTGCAGGGAGGGTGAATGCAGGACCCACTGCCCTGGACACATGTGGGCCGGCCGGCATCCCCAGGGGCCAGGCATAACTGAGCTACAGAACCGTGAGGCATGCTCCTAACCTGGGGGGTGCTTCAGGGAAGGGGGGCCAGTCTGAGTGCAGCCAAGCACAGGCCATGGCCTTGGACACCCCCTCGGTGTCCTGGGTGGCCAGCACTTTATTCCAGGCCTGTCCTCCAGGGCACCCTCGGGCAGCAGTGGGGACCATGTGGCCCAGCATCTGAGCCCATGGGAGCAGCTGCCCACCTAGCTGGCTCACTCCTTGCCTCCTCTGCCCTGAGGGCACCCATGGCCAGGGGACAACCCACAGTAGGGGGCCAGGAGAAGCAGTCAGCCCCTGCCCCAGGTCCTGCGTCTCCAGGGAGCCCCAGGAGGACACAGCTCAGGGCTGAGCCAGGTGAGGGAGAGGAGGGAGTTGGAGACAGAATGGGGCCACATCGTGAAGGGACCTCCTCCCTCCCTGCCCCCTCACCCCTCCTCCACCCACACTGCCCCCTGCCCCTCTGGTTCTGGGCAGAGAGAACCCAAGAGGACGATCCTGGTGGGCCGCGGGGCGGGGACTGTTTCAGGGAAGGGATGGACAGCGCCTGCTCTGCTGAGAAGCCCCTGCCATGCCGGGTCCCCTAGACTCGCAATGGGGAACATCTGAGTCCTGTTCCCTGTCGTTAGCTGTGCCAGAGACGCTGGGGGGGTTTGGGGACAGTGATGTAGACAAGGTAGAGGCCGCTCTGCCTTGGGTCAGAGGGGAGATCAGCACCTTCAGCCGGCCCCAGGGGTGTCAGTGGGAAGGTGGGACTTGGCCCAGGGAATGAGAGACAAAGGCGGGGGTGCCCGGGACTAGGGAGCAGGAAACTACCTTGTCACCCCAGGTTCGCATCCCCTGGCGGTATGGCCTCGACCCTGGAGTCTCCAGGGGGACCCCTCCCCAGCTGGAAACCAGGCCTGGGGCAGATGAGGAACACGTGTGAAGCAGACAGGGCCTGGTGGAGTGTTCTCAGGACCAGATGCCTTGGTGGTCCTGAGGGACTGGGCCAGGAGGTGTGTGGGAGAGAGGAAGAGTGTGGAGGGGCGTGGAGGGGAAAGGCGTGGAGGACAGGGGGTGGGGCCAAGGGGGTCACTCCCTGAGCAGAGGGCAGGGTCACTGCCCACTGCACAGGTGTCCTGGGCAGACCCCTCGGAGCCCTCATCTAAAACATTGGGGCTGGAATGGGTGGTCCATGAGAAGCAAAGAAGGAAACCTCCGGGACAGTCCTCCGGGTCGGATCATTCATTCATTCGCTCCATCATTTGTTCACGAGCACTGTGGTGGCCTGCTCTGTGCCGGGCACCCGGGGCTAGTGCCCACAGTGTCCTCGGGGAAGAGGGGGGCAGCAGCCTCAGTGACCGTCTGCCTGTGCTCATCAAACTATTTTTAAGCCAAAAGCCTCCTTCCAAAGAGAACATCATGGAAACATGTGCAACATGTCAGAGAGAAACCCAGGGCCGCTCTGTCTACATCAGGGGCTCTGGGGGCGCAGCACGGAGGAGCAAGCAGGCCGCCCCTCGCTGCCCCGGTCACCCCGAGCCCCCGCCTCACAGCTGCAGAGCCGGGAGGAGAGGAGGACGCTGGCCAGAGCCTGACTCTTCTGCCTGAGCGGGCACAGGGCACCCCCGCGCCCCCGCCCTGCAGGTCACCCTGCCTGTGCTTGGGCTGCTGGACGCCGAAGGGCACAGGCAGGTGGAGCAGAAGTGACACGTCACCGGGATGGGCCAGGACGCAGCTCCAGGCCAACGCAATATGCCACACGCTACGGGAAAGGAGCTTACTGCCCTCATGGGGAGGGGACATAGAAACAGCTGAGAGCCGTGGGGTGGGCACGCTGACGACTTTACTGAGGGGCTGGTTCTGAGCACCCAGGACCCCCACCTGGCCGCACAGCAGAGGCGGGCAGCCCCCTGTCCCCTCAGCAAACCTGGTGCTCTAGGAGGAGGCTCTGGCTCCAAGGCCAGCCCAGGCCAACTGACCGCCTAGGAAGTCCACAGGTCTGGGCCGGGGATAGTAGGGCTCCTGAGATCACCAGAGGGGGCTGGGTGGGAGCTTCTGAGGCCCTCTCAGGCCAGTGGGGACATTGGACAGACCCCCTAGCAGGTCCCAGGAGCCAGGGTGGTGCTGATGTGCTGGCACGTCCTAACCGGCCATCAGAACCTTCCTCAGTGTCAGGTGGGGCTCGGGGGGGGAGGGGGTTAGGTGAGGAGGGGTCAGCTGAGGGGACAGCAGTGGTCTCAGCCCAGCCCCTCAGGAGGCGCTGAATGGAGAGGAGGAAGAGGGTTCTGAGTCTGACCTGGAGAAAGCCCTGGGTGCCCCCCAGCAGCTGTGAGGCCGGGGCAAGTGCCCACCCTCCGCTTCTAAATGGACATCTCCATTTAGTCAGGCGTAAGATGCAGCAGAGCGTCGTGAGAGAGGACCAGACGTGGGCTGCGGGGGCACATGGGCACCCTCCCCTTAGGCCGCCAAGGACGCTCACAGGTTGGATTACTGCACACGGGGGTCCTTGCCCCAGGGACCCAGGGCTCCCGCCCCCTCACCACTGGTCAGGCTGGAGGTCTGCCACCTCGAGAGAGGAGACACCTGGCTGCTCTCCCAACCCTGTAAGTTCCTGCTCTGGGCCCAGAGGCCGCCAGCCTCGCTCTCTGTGGTCAATGGACTAGAAGAGTCCTTCCCCCTGGATTCCTGTTCTGGCAGCTCAGCCGGTTCACAAAGCCCCAGACGGGCAGCTCTCCAAACACATGTGGGCAGGGGTGTTCATGGACACACACCCACGTGCACACACGCACACACGCACACACACGGGACTGGCTTCCCACCTGGGTCCACAGAGCGACCAGAACTTCTGCAAGCTGGTCTGGAGGTTCTGACGGCTCTGCCAGCAGCTTCACAGCAGCCCGGAAGGACCCGGGAGGTCACTTTTTGCAGCAGGAGCTGACATGCTGCCCCCTGATTTGTGGACTGAGACCTTCCCTATTTTTCCCAGTGTAGAGACCCAGGGTGAGGTGCATATCACACACTCACACGCACACATACACACAAACACAGGTGCACATGTGTGCTCATGCTCGCTCACACACGTGCACACACACACAGGTGCACATGCATGCTCATGCTCGCTCACACACGTGTACACACAAACGCAGGTGCACATACATGCTCACGCTTCCTCACACACGTGCACACACACAGTCTTGCCCAGAGCTATCAGGCCCCTCAGGGTGAGACAAAGGCCTCACCAGGGGAAGCCCTGGAAACCGATGTGAAAGGAACCTCAGTCCTTTTTCACAATTTCAGGGTCGGGAGGCTTCCTGGAAAGGGGCCACCTACATCCTGATGGCCCCATGAGGGCTTTGCACATGCAGAGAGAAGGACAGCGGGGACAGGGCATTCTGGGGGGAGCCCTAGAGAGGGTGGTCTCATGGTTGCATTTTGTACAAGTTTGCCAATGTTCACGGTGTCCCCCGTGTGCTGTGTGCAGAGCCTGGTGACCAGACCCAAAGAGGGCTGAGAGGTCCCCTCTGGACAGTGTTGAACCACTCGCCCGGCACGAAGCAGCCGGACCTCAGCCCATGCACGGCGGCCCACCCAGACCCCAAGGCACCATCTGAAGCACACCAGCACGGCATCTCTGCCCAAATTTATTTGGGAAAGCAAAGAAGTGAACAAAGGCTCGGAAAATAAATATCCGCAGAGAGGAAGCCAGCGCAGGAGGCGAGGAAGCTCAGAGGCTCAGCGGGACGCTGCGGAGGACGGTGGGGAGCGGGGCCTGGGCGGCACGCCCACCCTGCTCGCCCGCTTCACGGACCCAGGGCCCTGGGGGCGGAGCGCCTGTGGCGGCCGGCGGCGCTGTTCTCGGTGGGCAGGAGCTCGCATGTGGTGTCCTGGCAGCGGCAGCTCTCGATGTGGGTGTAGGTGTAGTTCAGCGAGCTGCCGTGGGCGCAGTCCAGCATCACCTTCCGCTGGCTGGTGCGCTCTTCCTTGCAGCAGCTGCACCTGTGGTCCAGCGCCTGGGCCTCCGCGGAGTACCTGGGGGAGGGCCGCCGTGAGGGGCCACTCCCTCCCGGGGTGGGGCAGCCTCCCCCCACTGCCCCCCACCGGGGCCCCTCAGGGCCTGGGACTCACATGGCGAAGGTCCCGCAGGAGCCGGAGCAGTAATTCATGGTGACCAACTTGGTGCAGCCGCCGTGTGAAATCCTCTTGGTGATGGGGATGGTGGAACAGTGGGCCCTGGTCTCATTGCGGGGGATGCCTGGAGGGGAGGGAGGTGGAGGCTCTGGGGTGGGGTCTCCACACCTCAGGGGGGGCCCTCAGGTCTCCCTCACTGCTTCCTCTCCCTCCCCAAGGGCACTTCGCCTGGCCCTCTGCCGCCATCTAGCGAGCTGGGCGCCCCCCGCTGATGCCCTCAAACTCATCGCCCGGCTGAGGGGGCACAGACGGGACAGGGCTCCCGGGGCACGGTCCCCTTACACCCTCCTCCCCTCAAGGGGACCTGGGTGGAGCCCACCCACCAGGCCGCACCTCAGGCCCCGGGAACCGCCCACTCGCTGTCCTGTACTCACATGTCTTGCAGCAGCCGTTGGGCGTGAGTGTGACAGAGCCCTGGAGGAAAAGAGAATGAGTCTGTGCCCCTAGACATTCCCCCAACGGTGAGTGCCCCCCAGCCACAGGGGCCCAGGGCCAGAGACCCCTGTCCTGGCACTGGGGCTTTAGCCCTCTGGGAACATCGGGGACCCCCACTCCTGGGAGAGCACACACAGCCAGCACCCCCGATGGGCTCGCTCACCGGGAGGCAGATACTGGGGTCAAAGTCAGGGCAGGTGATGTCGGAGAGGGAAGAGATGAGATGGTTGTTGATTTTAACACAGCTGAAGAAGGTGCAGTTGTTGGTGGGGTCCTGCTTTATGTCCCCGGGCTGTGGGGCAGAGGACACTCTGGTGAGGGCTACCCTCGGAGCCCACCCAGAAAGACACACTGGAAACACCCAGCAGCTCACAACTACCCAGCCAAGTGCAGCTTCTCGGGCAAGAGGCCCAGCCTGCAGGCCCAGAGCCACGGGGCAGGTGACACCCAGGAGGGGCCTAGGGGCAGCCCCAGCCTGTAGTCCACAGACGTATCCCTGTGCTGACCTCTGGAACTCTCGGATGTGACCTTATTTGGAAAAAGGGTCTTTGCAGCTGTAATTAAGTTAAGATCTCGAGATGAGATCATCCTAGATTACTGGAGGGGGCCCTAAATCCAATGACAAGTGTCCTTATAAGACAGAGAGGAGAGGGTCATGTGATAACAGACAGCGCCTGGAGTGATGTGGCCACAAGCCCAGGAAGGCCTGGAGCCCAGAAGCTGGAAGAGGCAGAAAGGATCCTCCCCGGGTCTGGGAGGAGCGTGGCCGGGCCCACACCTGGACGTCAGACTCTGGCCTCCAGGACAGGCGGGAGAATCACACCTGCTGTTTCAGCCCCCAGTCTGTGGTCACTTGTCACAGCCGCCCCAGGACACTGGCACGGAGGACTCAGCCAGGGGCTGTTGCCGTTGCCCTAGCCTTGCCCTCGGCCCTAGGCCGGCCCTGCCGCGGGGCAGGCGGGCCCTGAGCAGGGGCTCCCGCACCTTCAGAATGTACTGGATGTTGTGCCGGTTGATGATGCAGTGGGTCTGCTCACACTTCATGCAGCACTCCCCAGGGGCCTCCACGAGCTCGTAGCCCTAGGAGAGAGACACGGGGCTCGGGTCAGCGACGGAAGGAGGACAGGAGAGCCGTTAGGGCCAGACTCCGCTCCCAGGAGGGAAGGGGCGGGGGCGGCTTACGGGGATGCAGGACGTGCTGCAGGGCACGTGGGTGCAGGAGATGACGTTGAGCTGTGTGGTGCTGTTGCTGCTGGTGGTGCAGACGCAGCTCTGGCACTTGGAGGAATAAACTGGAGAACCGGGCTTAGGGCACAGGGAGGGGCCCGTGAGGCCGGGCCACCTCCGCACCTCCCTCCCTCCCGCCCTGGAAGGCGCCCGGTGGTGCGAGAGAGGAGCCGGGTGCCCCGAGCCTGACTCACACAAGGGAGCCCCCAGTGTGGGCCCTCACCGGCACCCCGGCCAGCCAAGAGCCTGCCTAGGACCCCACCCCGTCCTTCCCCCGGCCTCCGCCTCCCCGCAGCCCAGCCCAGGGCTCACCTGGTACTCAGCATTCCCGATAACACACACGCCTTTGGGCACTTGGGAGAAAGAACAAGGGCAGGAGTCAGACTGCCCTGCCCGCCCCCATGGCCGCCACGCAGCCGGTGGAGGGGGCAGGTGCTCAGGGCCAGGGTGGGTGCATCGGCCGTGCAGAATCTGAGGCCCCCAGGAGGGAGCCACCTCACCCCACCGCCCCGCTCAAGACACGGCCAGCCCCAGCCTGGGGGCCTCCCCTGCCCCTCGCCCCCCGGCCCCACTTACCGCACGAGTACGAGGGGCAGCACCTTCCGGCTACCATCTCGCTCTTCAACTCAAATCCCAGAGAGCATGTGGGGGGGTTCTCCTTGCACAGGCTGGCATTGCACTCTGAAGAGAAGAAGGAGACGCGGTAACAGGACTGCTCCTCGAAGGCAGAGCCCCGCCACCTCCTGCGGCGCAGGGTGGGGCCTGGGGCCTCTGTGGGTCCTGCAGCAGGCACGCCAGGCCCGAGCGCAGCAGCCTCCTCAACGCCCACAGGTGGACACACCCTGCGGCCTCAGCTCCAGCAGGCCCCGAGGTCGCTGCTGCCTAGCTCCCCAAGGAGTAAAAATGCGCGAGGACTTGCTCAGGGATTCCAGGGGCCCCAGCCCGCAACCCCCCACCCCCCTGGCATGGCCTTACTGCAGGAGGTAACGTGGCAGCAGGTGTCGGCGGGGTCAACCTCCATCACCAGGTAGGTGCCATCCTCCTCGCACTGAGAGAGGGGCTTCTGGCGACATGTCTTGGGCTGGCAGATGATGCCTCTTCCGCCCTCCAGGCAGACGCAGTCCTTGCAGTCGAACTTGAAGCGCTCCCCAAACTGCAGGAGGAAGGGGGTGAGCAGGGAGGAGAGCGGGCGGCCGCCTCGCTCCACGCTGGGAGAAGGCCGTGCTGACGCCAGGGAGAAGGCTGCGCGGGGCAGCCCGCTGAGGGCCCTGTGGGAAAACCTGTGTCCCCCCACCTCTGAGCACACCGGGCAGGTTCTTGTCGAGGACAGAGGCCCTCATTCAGGGCCAGGCCACTAACATCGCGACCGTGACCTGCTCACCAGCATTTGCCTACACCACGTGTGCCTGGCTCGGGGCAGACACACCATGCGTGTCTACAGGGTTTGTGTAGAATAGAACTAAGAAATCAACCAAGGGTGGGCGACACGACACTGCAGTGGCTAGGACTTCATCTCAGGTCCAGACAGAGCATCGCATGACCAATGGGTGGGTGGTGTAGACGAGTGGAGGATGTGTGGGTGGATGGATGTGTGGATAGAAGGATGGAGGGAGAGACAGAGGGATGGAGGAATGGAGGGACAGACAGAGGGATGGAGGGATAGAAGGATGGAGGGAGGGAGGAATGGAGGAACAGATGGATGGATAAAGGAACAGACAGAGGGACAGGGATGGATGGATGAAGGGACAGATGGATGGAGGGATAGAGGGAAAGACCGAGGGATGGACGGATGGAGGGACAGAGAGACAGAAGGATGGAGGGACAGAAGGACAGAGGGACAGACGGATGGAGGGACAGACAGAGCGACAGAGGGATGGAGAGATGGATGGAGCGAGGGGCAGAGGAACAGATTGATGAGTAGGTGGATATCCCTGCTAGCTCGGCCTTCTCAATTTAAATGACTCATTACTAAATATTGACTTCCAGGTTCTCATGTCCAACCCACCCCACCCCACAAAATTCAGGATTTGTGGGAGAATCCCACCCCAGCACCGAGGGGGAGGGCCTACCTTTCTTGGCACATTGTCAGGTCCCACACAGCCTAGGAAGAAACAAATCCTGTTAGGAGAATCCTGGTGCCGCAGAAGCCAGGGTCAGCCTCGTGGAGGCAGAAGGGGACAACAGGAGTGGGCGGTGCAGCCTACCGCAGAACTCCACACAGACATCAAAGCCAGGGGCGTAGTTGACGGTACCCTCGGGACAGAAACAGCCCTCCACCAGGCTGGTGCTGTTCTGCTGCGAGGAGCTGGAGGGGTGGGAGGGCTTCATGAGATGGGTGTGGATGGGCTGGGGAGCAGGCACGCAGGACCCACACCCAGACGGTGCCGCCCAGGCGCACGGCCAGAGGGGCGAGCCCGCCGTCCCCGCACATCTTCCAGCAACTGACCTGGACTCGCAGGTGGGCTCCTCCGCAGGACCACAGGCCCGGTACTCCCTGTGAGACGGGCATGTCACCGCTGTGGGAGGGGACGGCAGTCAGAGGGGCCGGAGCCAGGAGGGAGGAGCCTGTGACTACCCCCCGCCCCCTGGCAAGTGACAGTCCTGCCCAGCCCCTCCCACAAAGGACCCACCCTCTCACACCGGCTGAGGGCAGCCATCTGCCCAGTGCTGCCCACCTTGGCTCCCCGCGCTGTCCCGAGCCGGGAGATGGGTGCCCAGTGCTGCTTAGCAAGGCTAAGTCCCTCCAGCGCCCCCGGCCCCTCCAGCCAGCCCTCCTTCCCCACCCCAAGGCCCAGCCTGCCTCTGTGTGCCTGGCCGCCCCACCCCCGTCTGGCTTCAGCCTGGGCCCCGCACCCAGCAGAGCCTGGACACCCCCACTGGTCAGCGGGACCCCCGCCCAGAGGCAGGGGCGGGGGCAGGCGGGCACTTACAACAGGCCCCGTGGGTGTGGTTCCGCCAGTCGATGCAGACGCCCTCCCGGGCACAGAGGGCCGCATAGGTCTGCAGGCTGATGCACTCCAGGCCCGAGTCGGGCACCAAGCAGCTGTCGAACACGCAGGCATCGTAGTAGTGCTGGGGGGGCAGCAGGGCGTGGCACTCGGCGAACAAGCTGTTGGGGAGGGGGTGTGGGTCACACTCTGGCCCGTGCCACCTGGCTCTCTCACTCCCCACCACCCAGCATCCGCGCCTGGGCTGCCCTGCTGGAGTCTGGCTTGGCCTGCATCCCACCAAGGGGGCCAACACTGTGGCCCGAGGATGAGGCCTGGGGCTGGGCTCCCAGAGACGGAGGCTTCACATCTAAATGGCCGCTGGGTACCAGGATTCCCGCTCCAGCAACCCTGGAAGAGGGCCACCCAGCCTCGACTCACATACCTCTGGGGACGAGGTGCTCACTCCCATGGATGTCAGCTTTGGGAGCGCCCCCTCTCTGTCTATGCCCGAATCTGCCTCCCTGGAATCAGCCCTGAATGCTAGCTCCGTCCTGGGTCAACTGGTCTACCCCAGGCTTCAAGCTCGGCCTACCCTGCACCATCCCAGGAGGCAGGAGAGACTTGGGGGTTCAAAAATGGCACGGGGGTGTCTGACAAGGCAGCTCTGCCCCACAGAAATCAGGAGCCCGAGCCCTGGGAACCTGCCCGTGGGGCTGTGGTCCTTCTGCCTGCCCAGCCCCACACCAGGCCCCCGCCTCGTCTCTTCTTTGCAGGTGGTGGGGGCCGGGGGGCACACAGAGAGGCGAGGCCACTCCCTGAGCCCCTGCAGCTCATGAGTGACGAGGCCACAGACAGGCCCGGGCACAGAGTCACCTGTCCTTGATGAGCTCGCAGAGAGGAGACGCACAACCCTTGCGTAGGGTGGTGCCGCTGGCCCCCGCTGTCGTGATAGCCGGGCGCTGGGTGGTGAAGCTGGAGTGGGGACAGTGCGGCTTGGAGGGGTCATTCACCACCCACTGGTCAGCTGCGACCTCACAGGTGGAGATGATCTCCCCGCTGGGCAGCACGCAGTCGTCCGAGGTGTTGTTGGTGCACGTGCCTGCGTTGGCGAGAAGGGCCACGTTGTCCAGCAGACCGGGCGAGCCCCTGGGCCCCCTACCCTTGTCCTGCACAGGTCCCCTGGGGACCAGCCGGCCAGGGCCAAGGGCACAGACTAGACTAGACCCCTACTGGCGTCCCACAGGGGCCAAACCCCGGGTCACAGCCACAGGGCCCTGAGCAGAGGAGCAGGACCTCAACTGCGCTGGCGGGTGCCCACTCCCCGCCGGCCTCCCGGGGCAGAGCCGCAGGGGGCAGGGGCTCACCACACTGGCCCTTGGTGTTATTGCCGAACAGGCGGTAGGGCAGCCTGATGGAGAAGGAGAGGCCGTCGTAGGAGATGAGGGCGCCCAGCTCGGGGATGTCCACCACATACTTGAAGCCCGATTCGTACACCTGCAGCCCGTACTTCTTGTAGGGCAGCGCCACGGCCTGCTTGTTGACCCGCACCTGCGGCGACACGCCTGGGGTCAGGGAGGGCCAGCGGGGCAGAAGCTGCCACTCAGCGGGAGGGCTGCCCTGCCCTGGCCGCCTGGAGAAGGGAGCCTGTGTGTCTGGGGCGGGGGGGCAGGTGGGCTGGGCCTTCACAGAGGGCCTGGGGCCGCAGCCCTCTACCCCACACCGCGTGGTGGGGGTCCTGCCCTTCCTCGATTCCTTTCCATTGCGCTGGGCAGACTTGTCCAGGCTGGTCCCAGGGGTGAGGCAGCGAGGGCGCTGCCCTCGGAGCCCCCCAGACTCTGGGGCCCTGTGCAGAGGGCAGGGCTCCCCCAGCCACGGGAGCCAACAACTCTGTGCGGTGTGTGCCTCCATCCTTCCGTCACAGAGACCTGCGCCCAGGGTGGCCGGCGGGGGCAGGAGTGGGGAGGTCAAGGGGGCCCTGACGCCCGGGTGGGCCTGCGAGAAGAGCCGCATGTGTCCCCTGAGCGCTGCCCCCCTCCCAGCCCCCGTCCGCCACCGGGGGGCGGCGCCTGCATGGGTGCGCCCGCGTGGACGTGGCCGCTGCCCACCTGCACGGTCAGCGGCATCATCTGCACGGTCTTGAGCAGCACCTCCTGGGTCTCGTGGCGCACGATGAGCGTGCGGGGGCAGGACACGTGGTCGTTGACGTCACAGTGGTAATTGTCGATGTAGACCCCGAAGTTGTCCACTGTGGGGTTGACCTCCTCCACCAGCACGTACGTGCAGTTGCCCTGGTAGCTGTAGTAGAGCCCGTCGAAGGTGGTGTAGTGCGGGTCCCCCCAGCCCGTGCAGTAGCCTGCGGAGGGAGCCCAGGTGAGCTGGGCTGGGCGGGGGGCGGGGCGCGGGGGCAGGACGGGGTCAGGAGCTCAGGGCTGGGCCAGAAGAGCAGGCAGGAACCGAGGGGCTGGGAAAGTCTGCTCTGGGGCACGCGGGGCATCCAGGTTGGGGCAGATGGGGGTCAGCTTCTTCCGGCCCCAAAAAGGCCCTCCCCCACTCAGTCTTCAGCGGCCATTCCTTCCGCAGGACGGGGCCTGGCTTTGGAGCCGGAAGGTCCGGGTTCAAACTCCAGCTCTGCCCCTCTCACCACGGAGGTGCCCGTGCTCCACCGGCACGCCCCTCCCCTGCCCAGACCCCCTCGAGGTGGGGAATCAGCTGGGGCATGAGAAGCCCCTCTGGACATGTGCCTGGCCCTCGGTGAGCTCAGCTGTCAAGGCCGTCACGTCCAACCTGGGGTCTGCACCTGAGGACCTCAGGCCCCGCAGCCCCTGCCCACAGAAGGGAGGAGGGGGGAGGGTCCGAGCCATGGCGCGGGCTTACAGTCGCACTCCCAGTGCCAGCAGCAGCCGTCGGGGTCCAGGACACGCACGGGCTTGAGATTGTTGGAGCAGGTGGGCATGGGCGGGGGCTTGCACTCCACCTGCACGATCTCCACCGTGTTGTCGTGCTTGCACGTGGCCATGGTGCAGTTACAGATCCACCACGTCTCGTTCACCTGCGGGCAGGGAGGGCGCAAGGTCAGCAGGACCAGCCCGTCCCCCCCAGTCCGCCTTGGACACTGCTTGTGAGGTCCCAGGGTGAGCACCAAAGAGCCCTCCCCGGGAGGCGGAGGCCAAGTGGTCCCGTCAGGGAGGCAGTTTCACGGCCACCGCACTGCAGCAAGAGGGGCGTGGGTGAGAAGGTGGGGGGCGCTGGCAGACCACTGGGGTGGTGCAGGGCGTAGGGACAGGGGCATCTTGAATGACCAGCAGGAAGGCACGCCTGGGGCATTGGATGCCTGGACGGTGGGGACACAGCTGCCCACAGCACACTGACCTTTCTGGGAGGGTCAAAGTCCAGGCACCCAGGGGGCTTGGTGGTGGCTGGCGTGCTGGGCGTCGTGGACAGCTGGGGCGTGGGTGCGGATGGGCTGGGCGTCGTGGACAGCTGGGGCGTGGGCGTGGATGGGCTGGGCGTCGTGGACAGCTGGGGCGTGGGCGCGGATGGGCTGGGTGTTGGGGAGGGTGTGGACGGGCAGGACCAGTTGAAAAACTGGAGGGAGCAGTTCAGCGAGCAGTTCACATAATAGCAGGTGTCTCCATGCGTGCCATTGTACACCAGCTCGCCTGCCAGGGGAGAGAGACCAGTCCCTACACCATCCAGGCAGGACTGGCCACCAGAGTGCATGGGCAGGGCCCCACCCAGGCCACCAGAAGGAAGCCCACCACCCCCTCTCCCCGACTTGTGGCTGCAACAAGGTGGGGCTGGCCACAGAATCGGCCCCCCGCATGTGGCATCCAGCTTCCCGAGCAAGCTCCCGGGTTAGACCTTAGACCTGACTCCTAACCACAGACAAGCAGAGCCCAAAGTCCCACAGCCTCCGTCGTCTGCGAGTCAGAGGGAACAGCCTGCATACCTGGGGCGTAGTACGTGTCATTCAGAACACAGCAGATGACAATGGTGGAGGGGACAATCTTGCTGGTGGTGGTGATGATGGTGCTTGTGGTGCCAAATGGGGTCAAGGTAGGGGTGGGCACACTGGTGGTCGAGGTGCTGGTGGTCTGCGGCGTGGGTGACGTGGTCGAGGTCAGGGTGGGGGTTCCCTTGGTGATTGTTGAGACAGTCACAGGAGTGGGTGTGGAGGGGAGTCCCGTGGTGGGCCATGGGGGCCCGGTGGTGGTCCCACCGGTGGGTGTGGTCTTCGAGGGGGTGGGACCTGAGGTCTGCGTGCCTGTAAGGATGGAAGTGATGGGTGAGGGCTTATGGCAGCGGCTTGTCATAGACGCACAGCTGGACAGCTCGCTCAGGGCGTGGTACGTGGCATGGAAAGGCCTCATGTCCATTGCCCTGGCTCCCAGTTGTGCGGCAGGGCGGGGTGAGCAGGGCCACGTCCACAGTGTGTGCAAGGGGCAGGCCCACAGGGAGAAGCACCTGCCCCAGGGCAGTAGCAGAGCTCGCCGGCCTGGCCAGAGCGGTGGCCACAGGACACCAGTCCGTCCAAGGACGCCGACCAGCTGCCCTCCAAAGACCCAGTGGGGATGCACAGGTGGAAGAGGAGGATGGAGGGAGGGTCTCCGGGTGCCTGACCAGCAGCCTCTGCTCCCCACCTGGGGCCTGGCCCCACAGGCCTCAGCGGGCTCCCCTGGGCACAGTTCTGCCCACGTTGCCATCACACAGCCATGGGCTGGGGGAAGTGTGCCACAGGCAGCTGTCCTGAAGAAGGATGTTCTGTGGGGGCGAGCGGGGGTCCTTCAGCTCCACTGCCCATACACAGGCCAGTGGCCATCGGTGCCCTGGACTCCCAGTGGCCAGGCTCAGCTGGCAAGGAAGGCTCACCAAGCCCGCTGGAACCTTCCTGGAGACCACTCTCACTAGGCAGAGCAGGGGCCCCAGCGCGGGTCAAAGGAGCTTCAAAGCTCCCCTGGCAGGAGAGTGAGCTCTCCGGGGTAGGGAGGATGTGAGAGCGTGTCCCCGCAACCATGCTGGGCCCGTGGGGTCCGTTTACCTGGAGTGGTGGTGCCGGGGCTGGGCGGACGAGAGGGTGTAGTGACCGTTGGTGCCGTTGGTGTTGGGGGCCAAGGTGTGCTGGATGTCTCCACGATCGTTGGGGTGGTGGTCAGCAGTGTGGTTGATGCCGTGGAGGAGGGGGAGGTGGACTGAGAGGTTGGAGGGGAGGAGGACTCAGGCGAGGGTTTTGGCGTGCTGGTCCCACCAGTGGGTCTTGTGCCTGTAGGAGTCAGGGTCTCCGTGCTGGTGGTGAGGACACTTGGAGTCGGGGTTGGGGTCTCAGTGGTGGTGATGGTGGTGGTGGTTGTGGTCCCTGTGGTGGTGCTGGGGGTTGGGGTTTTGGTCTCTGTGGTGGTGGAGGTGGTGGTGGGGGTCTCTGTGGAGGTACTGAAGGTGATGGTGGGGGTGAGTGTTGATGTCCCCAGGGTGGAGGTAATGGTGGGGGTTGTGGTCCCTGAGGTGGTGGTGGCCGTGGGAGTTGGGGTCCCTGGGGTGGTGGTAGAGGTGGGGGTTGTGGTCCCTGGGGTAGAGGAAGTGGTAGGGGTGCTGGTCTCTGTTGTCATAGTGCTGGTGGTCATGGTTGGGGTCCCTGGGGTGGGAGGTGTGGTGGGCGTTGTGGTCTCTGTGATCGTGAAGGTGGGGGTTGGAGTTGGGGTCCCCAGTGTGGTGGTAGTAGTGGGGATTGGGGTGCCCGAGGTGGGGCTAGTGGTAGGGGCTGTGGTCCCTGGGGTGGCAGTAGTGGTGGGGGTTGTGGTGCTTATGGTGGTGGAGAGTGTGGTAGGAGACTCACTTGTGGTGGTGACAGTAGGGGTTGGTGTGGGGGTCCCCGGGGTCATGGTTGTGGTGGGCGCCGTGGGCCCTGTGGTTGGTGTAGTGGTGGGGGTTGTGGGCACTGGGGTGGTGGAGGG